AACTCCTTTCCTTCAACAACATACTGGTTTAGGATATTTTTTGAGATGAGCAGTCTGGCACTTGTCTCTCCTTCAGCACTAAGAGCACAACTCACACAAGCTCCAACAAGGAGACACAAAAAGAGCTGGGAAAAAAAGGAAGACACTTGACATTTATTTAAATAGGTGATTTAAAGCATGACTTTTTTGTAGAATACACATGGTTCCATTTAAATTGACTAGCTTTTTATTTACGTTCAAAGCCTTTTATTACTATTTGTATATCTCTGAAATGGAAGTATTGAGCATGATTTAAACGTTAGACAAATAGTTCCTGAGCGTAGATCGCAAGAGTGATTACATACAAGCTCATATAAAGGTTCCACTCTTCACTCCAGTTTTTGCTAATTAAATATGTTTTTAAATAGTTGCTTTAAACACACATTGAAATCAAGATAATTGAACATTTTCGCCGTACAAATATATTACAAAAAAGGCAAAATAAATCTATGAACAATTTGTATGGACGCTTATTCAAATAGAGGAAAATTGATAATTTGCGTGTTCCTTGCAGATTTTAACTGATAAACAAAGCAACACGTGATAGTAAACCATCTACATACAATCGGACCAGAAAAATCGAAGCGCTGTTTGAATCTTTGATTAGAACTTTTATCTTGATAAGACTATGATGGATGGTGTAACCCACAGTTAACGGCTACATAACAAACTCCAAACCTACTTGTTTCATTTCTGCTACACCAGTCCGACCGTCTCGCGGATTTGAAAGGAAGAAAAGAAAGAAAGAGATGAGATGACGTGTTCGAAACCGAGGCACTTCCACGCGCATGACTTCATGGGTGTCTAGACGAGCCGACAGTTGTCGACGTGACGTCACTTCCCCTTCACAACGGTGAGACAATCAAAGATAAAACAGACGAAACAAAGATAAAGCAAAGTTTATAGCCCGGCTAAGGCTACGGTGGTTACGGTAGAGCTATGTAAGGATTAAAGCTTTCTTACTCCTAGCATTTACATCTTTGAGGTTATTTGGTAGCAGTTTTTCGGAGCAGTTAGCGTGACTTCTGTCCCTTTCCTCCAGCAAGTATCAACCTATCTCCATGTGTTGTCCTCGTTGAGAGGTGTTCGTTGACCGACAAACTATTTTAGTTTTAAGACGCTAGTCCGAAGATGAACAATAAATTAACTTCAGAGCAAATAGACGGAACTACAAGGCTTGGCCATGAACAACTTGCCAACGGAAACATTGATGATGCTTGCAGCTCTTTCGAAAAGGCCGTTCAGCTTGCAGAGGACCTGAAGGAAGGCTTTACAGCGAGAGCGTGCTATTTCAATCTGGGAGCTTGTTATGTTGCTCGAGGAGATCCTAAACGTGGTGTAGAATTCTTACTAAAAGCTTTTCCACCCGACAAGGAATCAGACGGCAGAACAAATTACGCTGATTTACAATACAATTTGGGAACAGCTTATGACGCTCTAGGAGACCTACACAAGGCTGTTGAATGCTACGAGATTGCAGCCGAGGAATACAGAACTCAGGAGAACCAGGAGATGAGAGGGGAAACACTTCTAAGGCTAGGGAAAGACTGGACGAGTATCGGTGAATTGAAAAAAGCCGCAGAAATTTACGAGCAATGCGCCCAAATTTTCCAAGAAATGGGTGATAAAAACACTCAATTACTAATCCTCAACAACCTTGCTAGCTTGTTGGCTGACCTGCGTGACATTGCGAGTTGCGGTAAAGTTCTTACTCAAGTTATTGAACTTTGTCTAGAAGTTGAAGACAATGCTTTGAAAGGTGAGTACAATACTCTACAGTCTGCTTACAATAAATTTGTGAAGTAGTTTATATAGTCCTGTAGTTATCAAGAGTGTAGTTATAATCTGATTATAATTAATTACGCATCAACAAACATCCTATTGAAGTGTTTAGAATTCCATCATCGCTCCTTGGATACCAAGGCAAAACTAGCAATAGAGGTTTGTTGCAATGCTCACTGTAGCCAGAGCTGTTGCAATAAGCTAAGATTTAGTTTAAGGGGTCTTTTGAATGTATATGAAAGACAATCAATAAACCTTTTCAGGGTTCTTTTCATCCCAAAGAAACTAACTAACAGCTAACTAGGTTATGAAGATACTTAAGCTTGAATAATAGTTATTCAAGCTTAAGTTATTATGCTGTTACTTATATTTAAAAGCAGTGTTACAAGGGACAACTTGCAAATGATGATTGGTCACGCAACAATGTTTTGCACAAATTTGAACTTTGTGTTATGAGGTGATGTTAGTGTGTTAGTGTGGCAATTTACACATCATTTATGAAGCAGGAGTGAATCTTTTGATTTATGGATGCATGATCACTCTATAGGTTTTTTCTGGCCATGTTATAATTAAAGAGAAATGATTTCCTTTACAAATTTGCAGAGCCCAGTATGGAGCTGCCATGTTGGTGGAGCTCCTTGCTCCACCATTATGGCAGCTAGAAGATAGTGTAAACATCTGGAACTTACTTTGGCTCTCTAGTCGACTGATTATGTGAACTGAACCAAAAAACACTTACACAAACACCTTTCCTAGTACTTTAATTCCTAAAATGGCTAGAAATCACGAGATAAGTGTACGCTTTTAGACAAACGTGATCTTAACTTTGTATCACGCACAGCCATAACTCTGAAATTCAAAATGCGCTGGTTTCCAAACCAAGTACACTACTGAGCTGAAAGGTTGTAAACAGAGATAAATTTAGATCCCCTTATTTCTGATAAGGATAAAAACTTTTGTGGCTCTTTAGTTTAGGATTTTGGAATGTAATGACGTCACATGAAAACAATCTGTAGGTGGTGATCCTCAACAGAATAATGGCCAGAGCTCCAGATTTCTTATTAAAAGCACTAAAAATCCCAGCATAGCAAAGTTTTGGGGTAGGAATCTCTTCAAAATAAAAACATCTCAGAATGCAGAAAAGGATTTGAAATTTGGTCCAGCAAAATTGATTAAAATTAAATTTATTGGTAAAGTGATTATTGATTATTATTCTAGCTTGCAATTCAGAGAACATACTCTAGGGAATAACTAAAGAGAGTATTATAACTGATGATCATAACGAATTAATAATAATAAATTGGTAGATAAACATTTTTCTATATTTTCATTGACATGAGTTCAAGAAGAGATTTGCTTATCCTCAAACATGCCAGCTGCATCCTGCAGTTTTCCATTAACCTAACTGCACGTATAGGCTTCTTATTTTGCCTTTTTTGGACTGCTTAGATCACATTTCTTTTACTGTTGAAGTAGATGTTTATTTTTTAAATTTTTACTTCAGTAGTGTTGCAAATTTGTTTTAAAGAAATCTGCAGGGGTATTAAAACTGAAAGTTAGATCTTTGTTAACAATGTAGTAGTAATTAAAATTATAATATCTATTTAACATACCTGCACTTGTCTGTCTAGCTGCAGGTGCTCAGATTAAAACTATTATTTAATTTGCACCAGGGATATGGAAAAATTTTGTTTATTTAAATTCCACTGCAAATATTCTGCTCATAATAAAAATGTACATGTACCTAATGTTTGGACAACACTAAGTGAATCCTTATATAAATTTCATCATGATATGGTGTTGTCAAGTTTCAAAGCAGTAAATGTATAAATAATCAACTTTAAAGCTATTGTAATTTAATAACAAGCATTTATCTGTTTAAAAATTTATGTGCAAAATGTTGCTAGCTGAGATGGCAGATTCAGAATACATAACGTGGTCATGCAACGGTTGTTTTATGTTTATGGCAACTGTGTAGCAACCCCACCTTGCAGACAACAGAAAAAATATTCAGTTTTTGCTACAACACTATATGTTGCTATTTCACCTAGTTTTGCGTCCTGTTCTGCTCAATGTAAGGTATTACATTTAGTCTGTTTTAGTCCAGGATATTTGCGATACCATATTTTTTGAAATTAAGGACTGAGCTGAAATCAGTAGGCAAGTGTATGACTTTATAAATTGTTGTAGTATGTTTATGCATTAGCATACTGGAGAATTTTCCTTGGTACGAACTTAGTGAGAAAGACGGAAACGTAATTTTTTTAAATTAAGGACTGACCTGAAATCAATAGCACCATGCATATTTCTACAGGTAGCTAACAAGCAATTTGTTTAAAGGTAGCCTGCGAACGCAGATGTATTTCTGGCTGTCGCTTGTCTCCGCCTAAAATAACGACTGCGAACCCAAGCCAGGAAACGATTTCTGTGACATAGGAATTTTAAGCCAATCACAGTTTAGCTCAAGTAGCCCCAGAACTACTGTGCGAGGTATTCGCTGCAAGGAGCACTCGAGTTTCATTCTATCATGGAATCTGATTGACCAAGGAGAAACAAAAGTCATTACGTCACAGAAATCATTTCCTGGCTCGAGTTTGCAGACGTTATTTTTGGCGGAGACAAGCAACAGCCGGAAATACGTCTGTATTTACAGGCTAGTTTAAAGGGTGATCCACTTGTAATTATATGAATTTAAGTTAAAATTATAAGCAGTGGATGAAAAGAACACATTATCACCCAATAATTCTTGCAGGTTAAAGAATACATAGCTGACAAAAGAAGCGATGAGGAGGCTTCATCCTCCCTTTCTGTAATTAAATTGATACTAATTTAAAATGTTAACATTATTATTTACCTTGAAGAGATTATACTGATAGTGATTATTGTTTTGTCTCATACTTTTTTTTGTATTTTTTTTTGTATTTTTTTTTTTTTTTTTTGCTGTCCAAACTTTTCAAGTGATGTTTTTTACCTTTATAGGTAAAGTCTACAATGACATTGGTCTACTTTACAATGGATTAAAGTCGTATGAGAATGCTGCAGAGTGTTTCGAACTGGCAATTCCTCTCATGCGAACAGAGAATCCTGACAAGAAACTGGAAGCTGTACTTCAACAAAATCTAGGAGCTGTGTACAATCAACTTAAACAATTCAACAAAGCAATGGAGTGCCACAGGCAGGCAATCTCCCTACATGGTATAAAAGACATTTTATATGGTTTAGGATTTCTGAATGTGTAATTTAATATAATATTTTACAGTGGGTCTCTTAATTTAAACCCACAAATTACATGACTTTTATGTTTTCCCAGTCAGGAATGGTTCAGACCGGTCATTTAAAGGTGCAAATATCATTTAGCAAAATTGTAAATGTATGTATGACTTATGTATGACTTATAATTACTCATTTTGAATTTTTAACTTTAAGTGGAGAATCCAAACTGCCATTCTCACTGTAAACTTTAAAATTGATAATTATAAATAAATTTAAAACATTACTTTTCATTTTTCTTGTGGTAGGTGAACTGTCCAACAGAGCAGCACAAGGGCAGGCCTTCTGTAATATGGGTTTTGCTCAAAGTCAGCTTGGAGAATTCAACAAGGCTGGAGAGAGTTTCACACATGCAATCCAAGCAGCAAAGGACTCTGATGACAAAAGAGGCTTGTGGCAAGCTTATGAGGGTTTAGCAGCAGTGAGCTTTCTTGGACAGGATTATGACAAAGCTGTTGAGTATTACAAGTTAGCATTATCAGTTCTGTCAACTACAGGAGAAGTGGAAGTTGAACACAACAACAGAATTGTCAGCAAACTTGCCAATGCCTTAGAGTGCCAGTTGGTTTTGACCAAAAAATTAAATGGAAGGCTTCCACCCTTAAGAGGTAACAGTGTTAAGAGTGATGCTACAGTCACAAAAGAGAGGGTCAGAAAGAGCAAACGAGTAGGAAAGACTCGTTCCAGACAGGAACACCACCAGCTGATTGCAAGAGGAATTGATGGGGACCAGACATCTACAGAAGAATCAGGGGAATCAGGTTCGACAGAATCATCTAGCGAGGAGGAGATAAAACAGAAGGAACAAACATTAAGGGATAGACAACGCAGGCAGAGTACAGTAACCACTGAAGTTCAAGTTCATCATGAACGGAAGCCTTCAAGTCAAAAAAGTGGAAGAAAATTGACATCCACAGATTCTACTGAAGAGGAACAGGTTGTGAAGGATAGGGAAAGGAAAGATAGAAAACCACGGCATTCTCGAAAACCAAGAAATACATCTTTCAAAGAACCACTCAAAGCAACACAAGTAGAGAACCACTATGAGCCGGTAGTTGATGATAGAGTGGCTTCTCCTGCAAGGAGTGATCATTCTGATGAGATGCCAAGAGCACATAGAGAAGCATACCTAGCATCAGTACAGGCTTCTGCTGGAAACAGGCCAGAGCCAAACAGAACAGATGAGCGAGACGGGCAAAGTGTTCAGTCTAGAACTTGTGTTATTCAGTAATAAGTAGACTTCTACTGAAAATGTCTGATCAGCATCAATGGAAATTATTTTGATATTACATGTACACGCAAAGCTTTAAAATATCAGTATGGAATTATTAATAGATTTCTATTTTTGTATCTTAAAATTACAATGTAGATCTCCTAAAGGTTGTGTGGTTCTCCAGTAAAAATAATGGGTCTGCTAGTCTTGGTCAACTAATTTGTAAAGAGTTGCAGTTAGTCTGATCCTGGCTGAGGGGTTTGTCTAAACAGTTAATTTGTAAACTGCACAAGAGTATGGAAAAAAACAATAAATAAAAGGAACTCAATAACAATAACAACGCACAATATCATCCCCAAAGGTAACTCCAATGACTGCAATGTTATATTATTATACCCAAAACCAAATTTTATTCAATCACCAGAATCCAATTAAATCCAGCTTGAAAAACTTAAGCTTTTCATTGTAAAGTTTGCTTTACATATCTTGACTGCCCAAAATAGTGAGTGAAATTAGTGGCTTTACACCTTTTATAGTTTCCCTTAAACAACTTTTAGACAAGGTTATGGAATAACTGGGTAGGATTAGATTGTCAATGGCAATTTATAGGTTAAGTGGAACACACTTATGTTGTGCAGGCTGATACATTTAGTGAGGAGTGTTAAAAAATGCAAGGCAGCTTCGTACTGACTGCAGTTTAAATAGCCTCTAGACGGAATGAAAAGTCTGTTGGACTCCCACACAAAAAGGATGGGGGTGCTTCTTGTACCTTTTAGGGGTTAGAAAAGTTAGCCTCAAAGGGTCCATAGCAGAAGCTTTTGTGGGACCTTTTAGGGTATTGAGCCAAACAAAATATAAGAGTCGAGACAATGTGCTGTTTTAGAATTGGCACCTTTTAGGGATGAAAAAATTTCAAGCTATGCTCACAAAACGGGATCTTGGTACCTTTTTGGGGTTCTTTTCAAAATTTCCAATGAGCACCCCTTTTTTTATATGGGAGTCCCCCCTCCCCCCCCCTCCTGGGACAAAAAGTAGTTTGAGATGGTGGGGGCTCAAGAGCCAATAGTAAATGACCAAAAAGAATAGCAGGGGACTCGACACAACTGAGTGTGTAGGGCTGTCATAAAGTTTTGAGTAACCTGTAACCTTGATCTTCACAGCTGTAACAAACCTTTAGAGTGAATGGTATCAACTATAGGAATGTTCACTTGTAACATCAAGAGCCCATCAAACATATTCAGTCGTAGCAAGCATTACAGGTTATGGCCCTTATTGACAGCCCCGCGGTGTGATATAGTTTGAAATGTAGACTTAAACCATACGTTCAGAAGTAAGAACATGTAAAATAGAAGTCTGTGTTTGGAAGTTTCTTGGTAACAAGTTGAGAGTAAAACACAGGGTAATTTGAATAATAATATTACTTGGATGAAAACCTTTTCAAATGGGTTAGAGATCAGTTATTTCTACTTGCCTGACACCTTTGTCACTCGCATGGGCAAGCAAGGAGGTGCAGTACTGTTCAACTAAAGTTATTTACAAGCAAATTAATATTGTGAGAATGAGATAATAAATGGGCTTTTGCCATACTAGTGTGTTGTCTGTAATAAAGTTTGCTTTCTATTGGATTTAGTGTTGTTCCATAATGTGGTACAAGAGATTAATTTAGTAAGCAACAAAGTTCTGTAATGCATGCAGAGATATTTGTAAGGTGTCATTGTAGGTCTACATTGGGTACAGAAAGAAAATCGAGTATCATAGGCCCACAATGGCAGTAGAAAGATAGAATTTGGAATTCTTTGCCAGTGTTGAACACTGGTTCAACAAGCTTTCCCATCTTTAAGAAAAAGATGATCAATTTTTCAATGAAATAATGCTGAATTGTTTATGCCACGCACACAAAGCTAAAAATGGCCATATTGTATGTAGAAAGAAAAATGACACACTACTGTTGGTCTACAATCTGTGTAGAGATCGATAATTTAACATCCATGCAGAAAATAATTCATCCAGCAATGCGAGTCTGCAATTTCTGCACAAATTGATACCTTAGTATCACTAGTGCAGAAAGATACACAATTTAGTATTACAGGTCCCAATGCATGTAGTGATATCTAATCTGGCATTTTAGCAGAGGAACTGCAGAGGAACTGTTGCTCCAGCATCTAAGTGCTGTTATGCATGTAGAGTTCATCATAGCTCTGCAATATGTGGAAAGAGAATCGAACGCTGTGCATGCTGAGATGAGCCACATTGCATGACCATTACTCTCAGTTCTTTTCTCCATGAACTATCAACTTCCAAAATTCAATTTTTAAGGTTAAGAATATGGTTTAGCCACATTAACTAGGAACCTTGTAGTTTCTTTTGAGGGAAAGCTGTGACCACAATCTAGCCTTTTTGCCCTGTAATGCATGCAGAGGAACTGATGCTCCAGCATCTTAGTGCTGTTATGCATGCAAAGTTTATCATAGCTCCACAATATGTGCAGAGAGAAAGAGAATCAAGCACTGTGCATGCAGAGATAAGCTGCATTGTGTAATAATTACTTTAGTTCTTTTCTCTTTGAACTCTGAACTTCCAAAAAAATCGTCTTAAGGCACAGAATATGGACATCTGACCCAAAAAATACTAAGCATTGTTTGTCTTGCACTGCTGCAGCTTCCTTTGAGGGTAAGCTGTAATGGGTGCCTGCTCCAGGGTTGCCACAGGGCAGAAAAATGCTAGGGGAAACAATTTACTTTTCATGGTCTAGGAAAAATCAGGAAATTAGGTATCCATTCAGGAAAATTATAATTCTGTTGATGTTGACCGTCTCATGTCGATGAAAACTGCTTTTTTTTCTCTTAATGAAAATGAAGCTAATAATAATTTGCTAATTTGCTGATATGGTTAGTCTGGCAATGGTAAACCTTGCAAATTATTTTCTGGTCAGCAAAAAGTAGATAGTTTTATTGACTTTATAGGTGGTAGCCATGTAATCATTGTTGTCTGCTATTTCAGTCCCTACTACTCAGCTGTGTGGTTCTTGCATTCCTTATGTAATCCATGCATGTTATTAGCACCCTTTACTATACAATCTGCACCACATTACAAACCAGAAGTAGATCCAGGGGGTAGGCCAGGCTACTGGGGGTAGGAAGGGAAGGAAAGGGGGGTGGATTGGGTGGAGGAAGAAGAATTTGAATGTGTCTAGTTTTCATATGAAGTGGGCACAACAGAAAGCTCAAAACAGACTGAGTAATAACAAGATTTAAAAGTGAATATTTATTTTTCATTGTGAAATTACACTTTTCAAACTCTACCTTTCATTAAAATAATCACCATACAATAAACTAAATCTCAATATATATCGAGGCAAAAATCACACTATTTTTTGCACTGGTCTTTACATTTGCATTAAGTCATTTTATTTAGAAATATTCTCAAAATCAAATTTTGATTCATAAATTCAAATAGTAAAGATCATATTTCTTTGAAAATTTAAATAACACTTAAAAAATATTACATTTGATGTATAATTTAGATATTAAATAAAAACAATTCACAAAACTCAACGGATACATTAAGCAAAAATGCCACAAACTGCACACTTAGTTACAAAATGGTTTATGTTTTCTGTTTAGAAAAAGGAAATTGAGTAATTTAATGAAAGCAATGATGAAGAACTTTGTAAGCAAGGGACTGCATCAGGAAAATAAACATCTGTAACCAGAGAGGTGTCTATTTAAGCCCAAACCTGAAACCAACAAGAACCACATACTGAATAAATTGTTACTGAAAGTATGAATCTCTTACATGCATATACTTGTTGGTAGCATAATGCTGGAATCTACTGCAAATAGTCTGGTATCAAACACTGAAAGGGGTCCTTGCACAGCTGTGTTCTTCTTTGTTGTGGTGGGTAGGATGTGGAAGGATGGAACATTTTTGCAAAACTTTGAAGGGAGAGTTTCATGGTGTGGTACATGTCTGTATTATTTATTTATTCCTCTGTGCATGCTTTTTGGCACAGGCCCAGTTTTTCATTGTTTATGAACCAATCGTGAGCAAGTTACCTAATGTCGCATGCAAATACATGTAGCTGTAAAATCATCTAACATAGAATAAATCATATGGGTCAACACTATATTCAGCAGTCAAAAGCATTGGTAAAATCCACTGAAATCTAATGAAAATTTTGGTCATCCGTCATACTGCCAGGAATAACCATACAATTTAGCATGTGATTACTGAACTACACCCGAGTGGGGTGTTTAAAGCGCTAACGTTGATTTGAAGCGAACAAAAGTATTTTGATTTAGAGATATGGGCTGAACCGTGAAACCCTCCCTTTAACTACCTCATATACTGGGCTAGCTAGACTGCAACACAGTGTTAGTAGTTCTTTTTGGCTCAAAATCAATTTGCTCTTTACCAAAGTCGTCCTGAAATTTTCACAATAGATGGATTCAATTAATGTGTTTACATCCTTTTCACATCATGTGATGATTCACTTGGGAGGTTACAACTGTGCAATCGGTCACCTGCAACTGATCACATGGGAGTACGTACAAACAGAACAATTGTAACCTCCCCAATGAATCATCACATGATCTGAATTGGGTGACAACAAGGATATAAACATGTTAGCCAAATCCGTCTATTAAAATTATCATTTCTGATCCTTTTAAGCTAAAGATGCAGCACATAGCCAAATGAATTCACAATAAAATACACACTGTTTTCAGTCTGATATTTTTGTTGCCCATGCTTTTTGAATGACTTACTCTCAGTGTATTGTCCCAGCTTCCAGTCCCAACTGCTGTCCCATCCGGGGATACTTCCAGACAGCTGATCCTGTTATCATGTGCATAGTACACGGATAGTTGCTCAGCCTGTGAACAATAACATTTGGAAATATAAACCTGTGCTATATAATAGCTAAAACCTGTTCAGTCTGCCTTTCTCCTCCAAGCAGTATAAGTTATCCCTAGGTAAATTCCTTGATGTGCCACACATTGTCTTTAATGTTTGAATGGGAGGACTGAGTTACATGTATATCAACCAAAAGTGAATCAACATCAGTAGATTTTCTTTCATCAACTAGATCCTAAATCATTTGCAATAATTATTACTTTACACACTGTCAACACTAAAATTAACAAGTATGAAAATACCAAACATGAAATTTTAATTGACCCACCTTCAGTGTATCCCAGACATTCATGGTGTAGTCGTGGTAGCCAGCAAACAATAGTCTCCCTGATGAAAAAAACAAAAAAAAAAAAAAAAACAGGTTTACCATGTTTAGTGATACAGGAAGTAGTCTTTGATTCTCATCAGTAATGATGTCAAAATACATAGGCAAGCAAAAATAAACAATAAAAATGGATGTTTCAATGTCAGGGTGATGTGTTAATGTTCTGCACATCCTAATGGTGAAGATCCTTTACGATCCTGTATGATTGTTGTAAAGATCTTTACAAGACTTTTCATTTGAGGATCTTTGTGAGAAATTTCAATGATCTAATTCTTTTACATGTAAGGATTATTGACAAATTCTTATCTTTAAGGATCTTTAGTAGGTCTTAAAAGATACTATAAGACATCCTCACAGCCGGGAACCTGGAAGGTTTTTCAATAGCCACATGAGTTGACAGGGGGAATATATTTCTACCTTGGAGAGTTGAAGTGATCATGATATTCTCTGAATAGAAATGTTTAGATTAGCTGAAGGTGGTAGAGAAGAATTTTTGAAGAATCAAAAGCCAACACTTGTCAGCACTTTTGAAGAAAATTTTCTTCCTAGGCAACTTACTCACCACTGAATGAAAAGTCCAGAGAAGCTGCTCCAAAAATTATGTGTTCTTTAGAGTATACTGCTAGTTCATGATCTGCTCTTAAATCATACAAACGACACTGCAGAAATAAAATGCAAGGTAATCATCAGACACCTCAAACTCTACATCAAGCTTGGTGATACTATAAATTTTATATTTTGATGAATCTATGAATTTTCCATGACTTAAGATCACCAGGTGAAAGGTTAAACAATGGTGTCCAATTGAAAGTAAGAGACTATCAGTCATTGCCTCAAGTCTACAGTTGTGTAATATTTTATTTGAACAGTATTGCTATCACTTACAGTAGCATCATCAGAGGCAGTGCCAAATGCTTCTCCACTTGGATAAAACCTAACAAGAATGCAACAGTGACCACTGCATATTGGATAATCTTTAGTTAATATTGACTGCATATTAATTAATTTAGATAGAGGAAGCTGATTTTAAATGAGAAAAGCCACTCACATAGGACTCAAAAAAGGTGCTGTCTGGTCATCTGGGACAAGTAGATTTTCGTACTGGACAAGTGACTTTTAATTCTAACTTGCCCGATGGGCAAGGACCCAGGCAAGTCATCTGCCTAGGCCCAGAGTAAACTAAGACATGCCAGGGGTGCTTGTCTAAAGGACAAGCTGGAATTTAAGTTATTTTTTTTTTAGCCCTGCCACATAAAGTTGCCTATTAATTCTGACCTACAGTTGTATCTATAAAACCCTTTTCTTCTAAGTCAAAGTTAAAACTGTTGTCATAGTCTGTGAGCAAGCTCTCATAGTGCTGGATGTGGCACAAGTGGTGAAGCAGCAAAAGATGAGCTGGGAAGCAAAGCAAGCCAGGGGGAAATTTTATGTGTCAGGCTGCTCACGTTGCCTGCTGGCTTGTCTCCCTTGGCTTCACCACTTACTGACTGCAGTGCCTATGAGAGCGTGCTCACAAGCTATGTCATACAAAAAAATACTATACAAACAAGTGCTACTGAATGGTTCTTTTTCTATGGTGCTTGACTCTTAATTTTTCCCAAGTTGGGAGTTCTAACAATTTGTCAAAAAATTTGTAATTTGTGAACACTGAAATGGAATTATAACATTACCTACAGAGAAAATAATACCGGTAATCATTGAATTATCTTTCACTGGTGAATACCTAACTCCATTGATATCAGACTCATGTGTCTGAAAAGAGTTCACTGCATGACCAGTCCTGACATCCCATACAAGGGCTGTTTTATCGCATCCCTGACAAGGCAAAATAAGTTATATTCATACATAATAACATAACATAATTAATAACATAATTAAATGTTATTCATGTTAGTAATGACAAACATAAGCTAGATAATGACTGGCAATGTTAAAAAACATAATAAATATTTGCATTTATATAAATTTTTTTTACTAGATAGAAAAGAAATTGAAAAATATTTAATATACTGTTTAGACAGTGCTTTAATAAGCTAGTTAAGACCACTTGCTTTTGATAACATTATTATTACTGCTTCATAATTAAAAGAACTGACTGATTGATCACACTTACCCCAGACACAAATATATTCCTTCCTTCAGATGGTGCAAGATCAACGCTGTTCAGGAAAAAGGACAAAAGCAGTATTATTTAGTGTAAGTTGCAGTGACAACATATAAATGCACAAGAGGGTTTTCAAGACTGAAAGGAAGCTAAGGCAACCATACGTTTCCCTTTTACAGGATGCTAGTTCATATAAATACACTGGTTATCTGATTACAAGACCCCAACATTTTATCAGGTTGTCTGACAAACAATATGCCAGTTGGTAGCTATTAATACCTCTGAATGAAGAGTGCACAATGAGATTAACTTGCCTTTTCCAACAACACAGCATAATACAATTACCCAGGCCAGGGTTTAAATTAAGAACTCATACTCCAAGATCCAAGGCATCATTAACCACAAGAGCACAGTGCACTGATCCCAGAAGAGGACATGAGCACATAAACTAATGATTATTAATAATTAATTACAAAATAATTATTATACATGTAGCTAGTCAGTACCTCATCACATCAGATGCATGACCATGAAAACTTTGCAGCAGCTGTCCTGATTCAACATCCCATAATGCACAGGTAGTATCTCCACTGCCAGTCAAGATCTATCAATTGAGACCATTCTCAATATATTACAAAAATTGTAACATAGTGTCTCATTGCGTCCAAATTACTGTAACAGCTGAATCATTTGTTTCACCATACTTTGTGGCAAATTGGTGATCAAGGCAAATCGGTAATCTACCAGTTTTGGATCTTTTTAGGTTGGTAGTCTGCATAATTTTAGGCCTTCATTAAAACACTTGAGAGTTTTGTCACTGCCTTGGACGAAAATGTTTCAAAAATATGTTGAACATTTTTCCTGAAGATAATCATGCAAGCCCTTGATTACTATGACTGCCTACTTACAGTATTATTAGAAAAAGAAAACAGAAGAGATGGAATTGTTAATAATTACAGCCTAGCACTGAAAAGGGTTATTTAAATTAATGGTACTTACTTGCTGGTCAGAATTGGTAAATGTACAGCAAGCCATGTAACTGGTATGCATGGCAACAGTGTGTTTCTTGGTGGCACCCTCGTCATCAAAGCTCAATTTAAACAGAGAACACTTGTTATCAAGTCCCCTAGAATGGCACAAAATATCAAATTATAATTTTATTATTTATTAAACTTATCATCATAAAGATGTGAAAGTAAGACCCACACCTGAAATAGCAACACTCTGAAAAGGTGTCTGGTTGTTTTAATACAAAGTCATTTCAATACAAGTCATTTTCATACAAATCAAAGTTGACTGGATACACATCTTAAAGTCAATTCAATAAAAACTGAAGCTGATTCGATACAACCACCAGTTATCTAAAGGAGTCTCATTATAGGCTAATTTCATGAAGTTCTGGTGCATTCAGTGGAGAAAGTTCAATTCTGAGACCTTCAAACACAGATCTTTGACCTCCTGGAGGTGTATCAAATTGACTTCCATTTTTATTAAACTGGCTTGTATCAAAATGACTTACAATCTCACAATACCTCAACTCCTAATAAAGTCAATTTTAATGATATAATTCTTATTCATTTATAACTTACAAAATTAAAAAACATCAGTTTAATTAGTCAAGGTGCATTAATGTCACTAACCATGCTTTGCTGCAATGAATAATACCGGTACCCTTTAAAGTTTATGGGTTCAAAATTTAATTACTATTATTCCAAGTGGTGTTAAACTTACCCACAAGCAACCATGTTGCCTGATGGCGAATATGCACAAGCCATGACCCATGTTGTTGGCATGGAAATTGCATGTTCCTGCCAAAGGAAAAAAAAAAGTCAATTAACTAATAAAATTGATGCCAGTTTGAATGGTCAAAAGTTAAAGGAGTCAAAATGGGAATTGGGATTTGTCTATTTTTTTCACAGGCAAAATGGGATTTGGATCACTGGGACTGGAAATCACAAACAAACTGGGAATAAGACTGGGATTTGGGAAAAATAGGCTGTGAAGTGGAATTAATATTTATACCTGTCCCTGATTCAGCTCCCTCATAGTTATATAATCTAGGTTATCATTGCCCAAACCCCAATATTTTTTTGTTTATGAGACTCACACATTTTGTTATGTTAGATGTTACTGTGACAATATTCTAGCTTGATGAGCAGCAGATTGTGACCATACCTTGTGTGTTGTAAAGGCATCCCAAACAATGACCTTCCCATCCTATAAATAGGTACAACACAAATTCAATTAAGCTAAAAGGGAGGGATGGGTTGGGAGCAAAGCCTTTGAAAGTAATGTGATCATACAGCAACACAAGCAAAATGGCCTTCAGGACCTCAACAGAAGAGCTTTTTTAATTCCCAGACCTCCCTGAAGAGCACAAAGACCACCCCTCATCAAGGGTAGACACTGCTGGCCAGCAGTTGTTTAGAGCTTAACCTAGCCTAAATTTCATTTAACCACATTTGAAGTGACCATTTTGTTATCATTCAGGATGCTTAGGAAGGTGTTAAGGGGAATCCCCAGACAGAACACAGAACACAATATTGTTGGAGAAATGAAGAGGATAAACAATTTTTTTCTCCTAACTACCAAGAAAAGACAAGTTAAGGTTAAGGTAACAACAAATAACAGGGCACTCACCCGAATAAAAATATTCTCCTTATACATACAACATTTACACAATATCTTGTTCTTCCAAAACAGTAACATCTACCAAACATCTACCAAAAGTGCTACCCTTAACACACCTGTGAGCTGCTAACCAAGTGACGTCTGTCCTGTGCCCAGTTTAAACACAGCACTTTTCCTTGATGGCCTTTAAGAATCCTTCGGACTTTGAGTGGTGAAAGAAGGAGGCTATCTACCCTCTGAGAAACGTCTTTTACTGATGGAAAGAATAAATTGTTGAATAATTAACAAAAAAAGAACTACCATGTACAATGGTGGGTGACTTTCATTATTTCTTTCAGTTTTATAGTTGAAACTTTTGTCGACAGAAGCCATGATAAAAGCATAAGAACAGATGTCCTACATTTGCTAAACACATTGTGATAATGCCATGTATATAATTGTAACAGTGGCGGATCCAGACCTTGAGCTAGTGGGGGTGCTTGCCCTGCCAGCTTTTCTACCTTCTGCAACTTTTTGTTTTTTTTTTTTCACCCAAAATAAGGGGAAGGCCACTGGGCCCCTCCCCTAGATCTGACAATGGTCAAAACCAGAATTTTTCTGGATGGACCAGGTAATTTGTCTGGTCTGCAAGAAATAGTTATTTAAAGTTGAATTTTGTTATCCATTTACCCTGTTTTCATATCTTTCTAATTTGACTTGAAGACATTATTTNGGGGGGGGAGGATGAAGGCAGGTCTAAGGGAGCTTGTATCGTACCTACTGGCAAATATGTTGATTTCCATCATTTACCATTTTGCATCATTTAAGATTCCTAATACTCAATACATACACTAAAACCCTGGCAGCTGACTTGCAAAGTCCTCTAAACCCGCTGGGGGATGCTGGTTATTAACATCCCCCAGCTGTGCAATGGGTCAACAAACACAATTTAGCAACCATTTTTCTCTGTTTTCTTGGTCAATTTCCAGATTTCAATAGTGATCTCCAGTTTGATTTCATTAATCTCCAGAAAACTGATTGGTCTGTCATCTGACAAAGTACTTTTGTGATAAACTTGAAGCACGAGAAAAACGAAAGTTCTATGCACACATTCTACGTCTGTAAACATCGTTAAAACTCAAGCTTGCAGATTTCAAAGCTTAGCACAAGTAGCTTACAATGAACATATCATTAATCCTTGGATATTCTATGGAGAAGTAAAAACCTGTACAGAATATCATGCTCTCAAGATGGGGGTGCGGTTCAAAAATCGAATGTCCCAATTTGCAAACTACATATGAGCAATTTTTTCTCTGGCGAAACTGCTTCTTGTTTGGATAGAAAAAACATCGATCATGCCCTCTCATCGTAGAATGAAACTTACGTTGAAGATCATTAACCTTCTGCTTCTCTTCGTCTATCTTTACTTTCAGTTGCTCCGCTTCTCTACAAAGCGAGGCGAGGGATTCTTCCGATGAACTTGCCGCCATCTTGCCTTCTTAAAAGTTTCTGTGGGTACCACACTGCGCATGCGATGTAGTTTCCTAGACAACAAGATTACAAGAACTTGTTCTGCAACACGCGCGCATAAAGAACTTTTCCGAGTTATATCTTGTTTTGTTTAACGATTTAATAATGAGTTCTGACACTATTAGTGTTATGAGACACAACAATTCCTGTGGTAAAACTTTACTAGACAACTGGGTCGAGGAGGTAAGGATCTAATTTTCATTCATATTTTTCAGCTGGTGCATGTTTTCAGATTTCCGTGTTTCCCTTCGCTTCAGCTGTGTCTGGAAACTCAATTCCTTACTTTAATTCCTCTTGCTTCTTAAATAGAGACAATGTGAACAGTATGACAAGTCAGATTCAATCAACGTCTCTCAGCTACATAAACAAGGACACAAGGTAAGAGACAATTCATTATGAAGCTTAAATTTGAACTTTGGAGGAAATACATATGCTTAAGCTTAAGCTTCTAAGTGACCACACGAAATATTTTCACGGTTATGTATGCAGCTGAAGCTGAGTTGTGAAAATAAACTGAAAAACGATCATGCTAGTGTGGGATTCAAACCCACGACCTCTGGTAAACCAGAAAATTGAAATTGGATAGTACCATCTACTGGTAGCCCTGTTGTAGACATTGGGGATATGCATGTCCCACGGAAGATCTGTCCCACCTTTGAATTTCAAATATTGTCATGTCTTAATTTCAAGAGGTCTAAATGTCTCTGTTGGTTAGTCTAATGTCATAATTTTGCACTTCGTTGTGTTAAGTTTCTGTACTATTGCTTAGCCAGCATTCGGAAGTTAATTGTGTCTATAACAAAATTCTTGATTGTAATTGGTTCTTTGCACACTTATTTTCCATGTCATAATACTGCTACTGTAAATACTAGCTTCTGATTAGTTGGAGGCAGGTCAATTTATCCCAAATTGTATCAACAGCTGAACAATGAAATTTTAATAATCGTTGTATTGGTCACATTTGAGCAATGGAGTCAGCTCTTGGTAATGAAAGCAAACATGTCTCAGATAAAACTTCCAGGTTAACTGTTTCAGACAAACAGAAAGCTTCCTATGAAGTAGCAGCTCAGTCAACAAAAACACAAATAAATCAACTGAAACTTGGCTCAGCATGTACTTTTATAGAAGCTTATGTTTAGGGTTGTATTATTAAAGGAAATCGGTCTTCTTTCTTGAAACAATTATGGATCAATTGTACTTGTCAACAGATCAGACTTTTTCTAATTTCTAGGTTGTGGCTGCAACAGTCACTCATGGAAATTACTAAAAAGTCTGATCTGTTCACACATACTCTTCTTACTCTTAAAATTTGTTATTGATGTGATTAATTATTAATTTAGTAATTGGACCTTGTGCCATACAATTCAGGGAGTACCGGTAATCATGCTCATAATTTCAAATTGGCCTTGCACTGCACACTTGTCTGAATTTGAAATTACTTGCCCGATTACTGGCTCCCTTAATTGTATTCCCCTTTGTCCAGTTTACTATTGCTAATCAGTCGGTGACACAAGCTACAACCATCTATGCACTATCCTGTCATGCATATTTTGTAGTTCAATATTACCCCTGGTACAATTTGGTATTTGCCTTTATTTCATATACATTGTTATTATCACTCCATTCGTCAGGGTATCTTGACAACAGATTTTGATGCCAGGCCAGAGGGATTATCAACTGTCAGAGATTCATACAGGAAACCAGAGAAACTTGGAGTGCGAGAGATTGGTTTGAGGCAACAGCTTCTTCAAGAAGAACTCTATCAGCAAGTCAGGTAGAAATATGATAACTTAATGACTTTTCGTTTTGTGAACTATGTAAATAAAGTAGTTCAGCCTCGTGAAATTACTAAAATAACTAGTGAACTTTTGTTTCTTTAGTGCTGAAGTGGATCAAGAATGTAATCCTCCACCTCCTTCAGTAGAATATCTTTCAACAACCAAGAAGGATTTTTCAAAAGGTGGGTCCCACAATTTGCCTGAGCTGCTGAATCTGAGTTAGTGGAGTTACTTGTGACTTGTTACAATTTGCATGATTGTTTCTCTTCCTCAATCCTGTTTTTTTTTTCTACAGAATTTGCCCCGATTGTCAAAGCACCAACAAGGGTGAGTTTAACAATAATGTCAATATTTTTATATTGCTCTCACTGTTAAACACATTTACATCAATTATTCAACAACCTTTTTCAAGACATTCATTCAAAATGTTCCTTTATTGTTTAGCAGTAGTGACCCTAAAGTTGTCATATTTCTCTCTTTACTAGCTTGTTGCCCCGGGGCT